CTCAGAGAACTTTGGCTCCAATAAAATAAAACCTTTATCACAAATTGGTTGAGCCCATGACTGCAACTTAATCATTCAATTGTGCATAAGTCAAGTTGTATTTTTATTTTGTAGGAATAAGTTCCCAGAGAAAGAAAACTCATTTTAAAACTTCGGGCCATTAAGCCTTAAATGGTAGAACATCGGTGAAATAAAAATGAATTGGGCCAAGATTTAGGAAACTTGGAATCCAGCCATTGTTCTAAGTAACAACTTCTGTGACATTGGGAAAATCTTCTAACCTTACTTGGTTTCAGTTTTACAAATGTCAAAATGAGAGATAGGTCTAAATAAAGGCTTTCTAAAAATCCCTTGTAGTTCTAAAATAATATGAATTGTTGGAACACTGAATTTACAATTTTCAGTGTCTACTGCCATGTAGATTATACTCTTTTCCTAGAAATTTTCCTCATTAAGTTGTTCATCATCATAAATAACAGAAGGAACAATTTTTTTTCTTTCCTGTTACCTTATGCAAAAATTTTAAGCATTGTATGTTCACCACATGTTAGGCATGATCCCATTCAATCTTTAAACTAACCCAATGTCACTTAGCAATTATAACTCCCAGTTAATGGATGGGCATAATGAAACCAGAGGGATTAAGTAATTTTCCCAAGATCACACAGCAGATGAGGTGTGAACATGCAGAGATTGAATTCAGATATGTCTAATTCCAGAGAACTTGCTCTCTATATTTTTAATCATTTAATACAATTAAAATTGTATTTCATACAGTTAAATATAGTCCCATACCACCTGAAAAGCCAAGTTCTTCCTTATATACTAATGGAATATACACTGGCCAGTTAAGATTACAAAAGAACAGAGATTTGTCCTTTGCTCTACCCTTAGCTCCAGACAGAATCAGTGACCCAAAGATACTACTAGTCCTACAAATACATACATTATGAATCGGAAACAATGACATTGTTTAAATTGCTCACAAGAGAACACAATGAACAACAAACAATTGGAAAAGTTAGTCAGAAGGGAGAAGGCAACAGATTTGTAAAATTTCTTAAGAAAATTCAAACACTGAACTTTCAGTATGGGAATCACGTCAAATACAAGAAGTAATACATCTTTAAAAATTCTCTTAAAAATATCTGAAGTGGATTTCATACTAGAGTACGTTACTGGCCTGACCCTATTAGATGCTAATAAGAAACTAAAATTCTATTAAGTATTATTAAAAAGGGTAAAAAAAATTAAAACTAGGACATGCTTCTCCTACTCACCCCAAAGCTATAGAATCCTGTCCCATACAAAGCTTCAAGATAAAAGGGATCTTGAGTCTCCAGGGACATTCAGTTTGTTGCCATAATGGAAGCTGAGTAGAGGTCACTCATTCATTTACTTTAAAAGGTTTTGGTAATAGTGAATGAGGTCAAGATGAACCGTTGGTTTAGGATCATTATTGGAAACATAAACCACCTAACTATCCCTATTAGAAACAGGTTGATTTAATGTGAAAAAGAGATTAGTCAGAAAATAAAATTGCTTAAAGGTGGGCGCTGTACCATAAGCAGAAGATTTAAAAAAAAGGTTATCTTTAAAAAATCTAAAGATTTTTTCTCTGAAATATTTACAAATTTCATCTCACACATTAATGCACATAAAGAGTTAGCTGGGTACAGTAGTAGGAATAGTAGTAAGTAGGAATGTAAAAGTATTCTATTTTTTAAGGGCAATAAACAGAAATAGTAAAGGAAAACACTGCTGAATGGGAGAAAAAGACTGAAACATCTTAGTGTGCCTAAAATTGAGAGTCTCAAAGAAAAATACAAGTTCTTGTGGGAAGATGAAATATTTTTTGGTATTGTAACATGATTTTTTTTTTTTGAAAATGAACTGATTTAGATGTTACAAACAGTAGCAGGAAACTTTTTGTTTCTTTTTTTAATCCTGATGAGTTACATGAATCAACCTAAAAAAAGTCTATACCTCTACATAAGGTCTTTGTAAGGAAGCAATGTAGATAGATTGAGTACTCAGTCCAATTAACATCATGCAATTTGAGAACTAAGGCTGCTTTCTAAAGAGAGAAAAACAGTTCATAAAGAATTGATCCTGATTGAATAAAATTGATGAATTTACTAATTCTTACATCATTTTCTCTTTGAAAACATAACTACAGAGTAAAACCTACTACCATTTTTTCATCTGGATTTGAAAAAATAAATAATAGGCCAATAGAATTTTTAAATAACGTGAGTCATTAGAATATGTGAATGTTTGGGCATTCATATGTATGTACAAACTTGTTCATACATTTTTTAAAAAATTGAATGATATATACTTCAAATGGGATGTCTAAACCTCTCCTTTAAAGAAATCTCAGGAAAAAGAATGAGATAAATGTTGGGGAACGTCATCCTCCTGTGATGTAACATAGCCATCAAGTGTGAAAATTTTCCTGCTTTCTTACTCTGTCAATTTAATCCATCTAGTAGATGCAACTATATAATGCACTGCATGCCTTTACTAATGTTTGGGTCACGTTGATGTCTTGTGTATTCATAATTGAAACCAGCCTTAATTGTGGTCTAGTAATATTTCAGTCCACTATTCTAGCAATAAAGAAACTGGAATGAATTATTTTCTAAAGCCCAAAGAGACAATGGTATAAAACATGTAAGAAAATGCAATCAGGATGACAATTTAAGTTGGTATATTTATTTCTAGGTCTTAGGCTCCATACCGAAGGAAGACAAAGGAAGCAGATCAAATTCAAAATATACTACATAAGTATTTGCAGATAGCAAGTAAATTCATCCTATTGTAAATTCTTATGTAAGCATTGATTATGCATTGACAAAAATAAATGTAATAATACTATTTGTTATGAATTTGATTTGCTTTCCACCATAGCAGGTTTGAATTTTACTATTCTTCTTTGTCAGATGCTGCCAAGGAAGAGGAGGAAGGGCAAGGAAGAAGAAAAGGGAGAGAAAACATTCTCAATAATAAATGTGGCAAGGATTTACATGAGCAAAAAAAGATCTGTTCCACGTTTCTAATCTTTTATTTCTACACATGTCACTATAGTTGTCCTTCCCATAACTGTATGAACAATCTCTCAATAGACTAATTTAAATAATTGTGACTTTCATAACTATTAAGTATTTGTAAGATTGCCCCAAATCAATAATTTATAAAATCTACTTTAGAACTATGCTGTTAATGAAAATACAAGAAGTTGTGTAAATGAATTCCTTTCAGATTATCATCTTGCTCAGAACTTATTTTTGCCTAACACATTCCCTACTTCCCAGATTAGAAAATATAATACCATAACTGCTTTATTATCTTAGATTTTCAACAAATAAAATATTGTAAATGTGGATAACCTGGTACTATCAATTAAAACTATATTCAAAGTCAGCACACTTAGACTGAACATGAAATCCAACAGTTTCTTGTTTCTTTTTTCTTTTTCTTTTTTTTTTTTTTAAGTAGGCTCCATGCCCAACACGGATCCTAATGCAGGGCTCAACCTCACAACAGTGAGATCAAGATCTGAGCCAAGATCAAGAGTCCAACCCACAGCTGACAGCCACCCAGGTGCTCCCCAATGAACAGTTTTAAAGCACTAAATTGAATAACCACACTCGAGATATATACAGATAGATAGCATCGCATTAGGATGTGCTGCTTGTAATTACAGTTAAGGAAAGCAAAGAATCCTGGATGGATCATCTCACTGATGTTTCTCTGTCTCTGTGAAGCGGTGACTAGCTAACTAAAATTTCAGGTGGACCAAGAATGAATAAGCCCTGATTGGGATACAGAATCCAGAGTGAACAAATTAAGTATACCTGACCCAATTAGGTAAAGTGGGATGAACTTTGCCGGCAATGAAGTCTAAACATGATTAAATACACAAACGAAATAATGTAGACATATTTGCTTCTGACATTTATGATATTTACACTTAATATGTTGGATTCTCAAGATTGTCAAAAGAATGATGAATTTCTTCTTAACAAAATATGTTGGATTGTCAAGATAGGACTCCAAAAGAATGATGAATTTCTCTTCTCTGGCATCTGCTTCCAGGAAACGGATATTACATAGGGTGGATTCATAGTGACATGAATTAGATTCCATTTCTTGTTGGTAATAGCAAGTATGTATTGAACACCTATGGTATGCCTTGATACTTCATCTGTGATTTCATTAAGTCCTCATAATACTCTATGGAATAGGTAGTTTTGGAAAGGAAATTTTTCAGAAGGGGAAAAAAGTTTGTCAAAATTCATGCTACCAGCAAGTGGTGAAGACAGGACAACTCTGACACCTTACTTTTTCCTTTTGTTATCAGTATAGCTGCTTTCTTCCATCTTCACTGATGCTCTTCATCATCACACATTTCCATGTGAGCAAAATATGCAGGTTATGAAGCCCTCACTCTTGGTTTCTCCAGACAACATGAAGGGTGAAGTTCTACTTGAACATCAAATCATTACCTTCCCTAATCTCAACCCTCATCACACATGGCTCTTGAGCATACAGTCATATATTCTCTCTGCCACTGCTCTCTAACAGAATTTGCTGGACCTTTTAGCTTTGATTCTCCTGCATATCCCTCATTTAAGAACACTCGCAATCACATTTTAAACATTAAAGGACAGAGAAAATGAAACCTTTCCAATATTTCTCTGCAATAATTTCCTTTCAGTATAGGATGAAAATGACTGTCAGCTTGCTCAGATTGAAAGCTTCCTGACAGTTGGGTCTGTGACTCCTTGCAAGATTCTCATGGCACAGGAGGTAACATGCCCTGAATCAAGTAAGCCAAAAGGAATGTTTATTTTGGAGGTTATTCCAGTTAGGTCAACTAAAAATTAGAAACCAAAGATGGATAGATGATAGATAGATAGATAGATAGATAGATAGATAGATAGATAGATAGATATTATCTAATTGGAAATATGCATGAAATGATGATTTCTGACCTGGATCTGTTGCTGAAGCAAATTGATTTTGTGTTGTTGCTGCAGAAGCTGCTGCTGTTGTCTTGCAATCTGTGGAGAAATTGCACATGAAAAATTTAAAAGTATATTGTAGTCCCAGGGGGAAATTACCAATGTTCTCATAATTGCTCCAAGTTTGATTTGACACTGATTAAGATGATGAAAATTGATGTTCCTGTGCCCCTACAGTATTGGCAATTCATCTTTAAGTAGGATCAAACAAGATATTTAGTTTCTGGAGCATTTTCTTTTGACCTAAAACAAATGGAGTCTAAGACACTCCAATAAGTGATCCAATCCAGTCAGAAATCCCTCTTCCTTCCCAGAAATATGTTAAGAAAGTACTGCCTCTGGCACTTTTAGTTCTTTTCTACAAAAGAAAGTATTGCATCAACATGTGGTTGTTGCCACCTGGAAGTTCAGGGTAGCAGAGTACTACATTGTGAGAGGGCTATATTCCTTAGTGAGGTTTTGGTATTTCTGCTTCTTTTTCCTAAATATTGTCCTCATTTCTGCCTCCTACAAACCCCTACACAGCCAACTCCTCGATGCACTCGATCATGGTTTCTGCTCCCCTTCTCCGTTGAAACGATTCATAATAAAATTCACCAATCTTGTTCTTAAATTATTTTTTAATGTTTACTTATTTATTTTAGAGAAAGAGAGGGAGAGAAAGAGTGGGGTAGGGGGCAGAGGGAGAGAGAGAGGGAGAGGATCCCAAGCTGAATCCATGCTGAGGATGGAGTCCAAAGTGGGGCTTGATCACAGGACCCTGAGATCACGACCTGAGCTGAAATCAAGAGTCAGAGGCTTAACTGACTGAGCCACCCAGGCACTCCTCATTTTTTCAATTCTAAAGTGTTTTTTAGATTTCTCCTTTTGTCCTTCCATCAAAATTTAACACTCAAGCTCTCTCCCTTGATCCTGACTTTTCTTTCTTGGCTTCCATGACAACATATTTTCCTGGTTTTGCTCTGCCCTCAATCTGTTCCTTCTCAGTTATCTTCAACTACTCTGTCTAGCCATTCAATGTCTAGCTATTCAACGTCATAGCTGTATATGGCTTTATTTTAGACTCAATTCTCTTCCCTGTATCCCGACTCCTGAATGTACGCCAAGTACTTAAAAATCTGCCTAGCCTATGCCTTTGCTTTCAGCTTCAGATTCATTTTTCCAATGAGATTCTCAAAGGTACTTCATATTCAACAAGTTCAAAACTAAACTCAATTATGGTTATTTTAATGCTTTCATTTTGTCTTAGGAACAGGGTTCTTAAAAATCCTTTTTTTTTTTCCCTGAAGAAAGGCAAAAAGGAGATGGTAGGAAAAGGAATATCACTCTTTTTTCTTAAATCTGGTCCTTTCCTCCTACATATCAGTATTTCAGCTGATATTTAAATCTTTTTTAACACATCTTAAGCATTTATCAAGAAACTGATGACCTCACGCCCCTCCACACTTCCTCCTGTTCCAAGCCATGGTTGTTTCTTGCTGGATTATTGTAATAGTCTCCTATTGTTCTTTCTGCTTCTGCCTTTGCTCCCAACAGTCTATAATATACTAGGATCTACAAAGATCTTTTTAAAAAATAAGTTGTGTCGTGTTATCCATCTTTTCAAAATTCTCTGTCTCACTCAGAGCAAAAGCCAGTGTCCATACCATGCCTGCAAGACCCTGTATGATTTGGCTTCTGCTGCCTCTCTGGTTTCACCTTCTCCTACTCCTCCGTTTGTCACTCCATGCTTGTCATTCTCCTCTCCTGTCTCTTAAGCACACTTAGGATGCTTCTATCTCCCAAGGATCTACCTGCCTCTGCACCTCGGCACTCTCTTTTCCCTCCATCTGGAATCTTCTGTTCTGAGATAACTACATTGCTCACTACCCCACTTCCTATAAGTCTCTGCTTAAATGTCACCTATCAATGAGGTCTTTCCTGATAGTCTTTCATTTTTAAAAAGACTTCTCTCTCTACTTGGCACTCTCATCTCTAATCCTCTTCTTTATATCTTTTATCAAATCCACAATATAGTACTTGTTTGTTTGCTATATTTTCCTAATTAGAATTCAATACATTAGGATTTTTGTCTGTTTTATTCTTTGCTGTAACTCAGTAACTAGAATAGGACCTGGCATCAAATTGGTGCCCAATAGATATTTATTGAATGAAAAAGTGCAGAATGGAGTTCAGAGTCCAGAGGAAAGGCTGACCAGTGAACAGGTTCTTTAGAATCTCTAAGGGCTATAATGGATATATTAGAGTACACAGAGTAGGGACAATGAATAGGGAGTTTTGGGAGGAGGGTCAGAAAAGGAGTTCTCAAGAAAAGACACACAACCTGAATCTTAAGGAATATTAAATGCCCTTCAGAGATTTCTCTATGTCTTGATGAAAAGATCAGTGACCACAAAGTGGTGAATATGCATGCCAGCACTGGATGATACAGAAGATCTAAGTAAAATAGACTCTTGAAACCTGACCTGAAGCTTTCACAAAGGATCTTCTCTCAGGCTGTGTAGGCATCATTGCTTAGTATCTTTCCAACACAGGAAAGGAATTTTGGAAGAACCTAATGATTTCTAAAATTCCAAGGATAGTGTCAGAAAAAGTAAAAAAAAAAAAAAAAAAAAAAAAACTAGAATCCTTTGATGATATGTGGGGATGGGTCAGAACATGAAAGAGAAGAAAGAAGACTTTGCTTTCTATTAGTGAAATCTATGTCAGATTTTTTTTTAGGACAAATATGCCCTTGGACCTACCAAAATAGGGATTCTCTACTATATCCCCATCTGACCTATGTTTCAGAAGCTTCTAGAGTTTTCTAGTAATCAAGTGTTTGAAAGTATTGAGAATGATAAACAAGAAAAGAGTAGTGTTTTTCTAAACTGTCACAGGTGAGCATTCCAAACTCTTATCATAGGAGTAAAGCAAGAGAAATATAGACCATATTCAAGAACAGGCCAAATATATCTTTAAGAAAAATGATGAAGTATTTAATTAAACATGAAAGCATCATCTTTCAAGCAGAGATAAACCACAAAGTAGGGAAGAGTAATCTGAAAGTGGGTCTCCTCAAATGTAATCTGAATATTTTTTCTTTCAATTCTGCTAGTTTACATTTTAATAACTGTTAAGGTTTTGCAGGGATGTATGGACACACAGATACCCTTGACTAAATAATGGTCTTCCTCCACTTGGGATGGTGAATGGACAGAGCCCAGAACATGAGATGGCAAAAGGGAGTTAGGCCCAGAAAAGATGTGCCATCTCTATATATAAATTCATCCTATCAAAACCTCTTTCTTCCTTTCCCATTGATACCAATTTTAAGTAATGATTCTTATACATTGCCTCCATTTTCCTACTCCTCATTTATCAATTCTTATGCCTCATTTCTACTATTAAAGCTCCATAGAAGCCACAGTCTTAAAAGGGTTGCAATGAGAAACTAAATGACAAATCTAATAGCTTTGTTCTTCTGGTATTGCTCATTTTCCTTTCTTTATCAGATATATGCAGTATTTCCTATGGATCTACCCCTGATTCCTTTCCATTTTCTAATGATAGCATCATTATTCTAATTTACAGCTTACAAACCTGCCATTCCCCTGCACAAGACACACTGGCCCTAGATATAAATATGGCTGCCTCTTGTATGTCATTTAGATCTGAGCTCTATTGCCAGATCCTACCACCCAATCTAAGAAATGTTGCCTTGTCATACCAATCAATATTTATTAAATTATTCTAATTACATTTCATCAAATAACTTATCACTGTCTAAAATATTTTTGTTAATTTCTCTTTTCCTTTGTTAATTATCTCTCTCTTTCCACTGGAATTTAGGGGTTCTGTCTTTCTGGTTAGTTGATATGGACTCAGAAGTTAGCATAGTGGCGGGCATATAAGAGGCACTTGATTACTATTTGTTGAATAAATTAATGAAACTTATCTGCCCCAGTGGTTTATTTTTTTATTTTTTATTTTTGCCTCAGTGGTTTAAACTATAATCTCTATGTAAATAATCTAAGAAATCTAGTTCAGTCCTCTTTTCCAAACTGTTGCTTAGTATTTCTAGCTTTTCTTTACATACCTCCAGTTGGACAACCTGACGAGAGCTTTAATGAAACATGATAAGATCACCTGCTTTTCCAATTTTCCCCCCTCCTGACTCTACCCATTACCCAGTCTCAACATCTTTCCTCATTCTTTTTGCCCACTGGAAAAATTCAACTAATCATAATTTGCCCACCTGTTTATTCTTTTCTTCTCTTTTTCTGTGTCATTTAGTTTATATTCTAAATTATCTAGTTTAGATTCTCACTACTTACATAAGTTATTATAATAGGCTTCTAACTAAACTTCCTGGCCACAATTAATTTACTTCATTTGTAGAATCCTACTTAGTCTTCAAAGCTCATACCAAACACCTGTTGAATGAAATCAGTAGTTGATAAGCTTTTTGTTTGTTTATTTGCTTCCTTACTTTGTATTTTATTAATCTTTGTGTGCCTAGGAGAGTGACCTATAAAGAGCAGGCAAAACAATGCCTAAGGAATTTGTGTCTCTGGCTCATACTCACCTGTTCTTGTTGCTGTTTGGCCAGCTCCATTTGCTGGCGTTGTTTCTCGATCTGAGATGCAGCTAGTTTCTTCTGCTCATCGTGGGCAGCCAGTAGCTGCTCCCGCAGACTGGTCAGCTGATTGATCATACCCATGAGCTGCCTCTCCTTCTCAGCTAGGCTTTCAGGAGTCCCTGAAAATAACACAGCAATAAAACATACAAGAAAAGGGAAATGAAAAGACAGTGATTATCTAATGACAATGATTCCATTGCACAGATAACTCTTCTAAATAGAAGGTTAACACACAAACATACACTTTCTTTTAGATTTTTAACTCAATAGTGAAAAGTGATGGCTATTTCCCTTTTAAAAATATCAGAATGAACAAATATTTTGATTGTTTTTTATGTATAACAAGTAATAATCTATAGTTTTTAATTTTACAAGTAAATAAAAAAAATCTTAGGTGAGCATCTACTATTTTAATATTCTATTCTAGGATCTGATGAAAATAAAAATAGGCCTAAAGCACAGCTCCTTGCCCTAAGTAGTTTTTTTACTAAATTAAAGAGGCAAGACAAAAACATGAACATTTAATAACCATAATTATTAAGAGACCAAGTAATTATTATCAGTAATATGATTCTTCTTTTCTCAGAGAAGAAGAACAATTAGATCCAAGGAAGTCTACATTAAAAAGGGGGGAAAATCTATGGCCAATCAAACTTTACACAGTTTTCTCATATGCCACTCAGAGATTTTCTTCAAAAATAGGATATAACTAACAGGGAAAATATTCAAGACTGAGAATATAAATTCAGACTATAATGAAATAATGAAATACGATTGAAAAACTCAGAGATCACATTATAGCCACCAAAGATTATAGTTAAATTCAAGACTTGGAAAAGAAACCACAGCAGTCACTTACAATAAATAACATATTCAGGATAGTTAAAGTATGCTATGAATCTTCTTTGTCAGGTTAAAATACTTATTTGACACACCAAAAATGTGAGCATTTCACTGAAACAAGAACAATATCACTTTTAATTGTTCTTTTAAAATTCACCAGATAGACAAGAACCCTATGGTAAAGTACTCGCAGCAGGAGAGAACACACTTTTTAATTACAATTTTCACTTTAATATAAGACACTAAGCACTATTTTAATAATGCATTTGCCACCTGTATATGTAATTAGATAGAAGAATCTGTTATAACTCAGTCAACCTTCCCCATCTCGCTGTATTTCTAACAATTTGTGCTGAAAGAGCATGTGCTTTTAGGAAGTAGCAGCAATAGTTAGTGGCTTATATTTTCCACAGGCCCATTTGGAATAGAAATAAGTTTTTTTTATATATAATTTAGATAGGCTAGAGAATAAATACCTAGAAGAAAAAATATGAGTGAATAGAAGTCAAGAATCATGCATTATACTCATTATGAATAGCCAGCATTATTCAGGACAGGTGTCCAATAAATTATTGCTAATAATTTATTATAGTTCAGATATTTGGATTCCATTGAGCAGAAAAACACTTATTCTAAAATAACAACAATATAATTATTACAATTAGAATTCTAATAGTAAATAATCTAAATATATACTGGGAAGTTTTTTTTTTTAATTTTTTTTGAGATTTTATTTATTAATCCATGAGAGACACAGAGAGAGAGAGAGAGAGACAGGCAGAGGGAGAACCAGGCTCCATGGGGAGAGCCCAACATGGGACTTGATCCTGGGACCCCAGGATCACACCCTGGGCTGAAGGTGGCGCTAAACCACTGAGCCACCCAGGGATCCCCTATACTGGGAAGTTTTTTAAAGAAAACATTCAAGTCATGGTATGATGTAAATCTTCACACATCATCAGTAGTCACTTTTCTAGAAATATATACTAGGAAAAGCAATACATATCAGGTCTTGTAATCCTCATTATCTTCAAGGAATAATTTCACTTATAAAAAAATCTAGCCCAGGGGCACTTGGTTGGTTCAGTCCAACTCTTGATTTTGGCTTAGGTCATGATCTCAGGTCATGAGATTGAGCCCTGTGTCAGGCTCTGTGCTGGGTGTGGAGCCTGCTTAAGATTCTTTCTCCCCTCTTCCTTCCTCTCTTATAAAAAAGTCTAGCCCTAGAAAATGTAAGAAATGAAGTATTAGGGATCCCTGGGTGGCGCAGTGGTTTAGCGCCTGCCTTTGGCCCAGGGCGCGATCCTGGAGACCCGGGATCGAATCCCACGTCAGGCTCCCGGTGCATGGAGCCTGCTTCTCCCTCTGCCTGTGTCTCTGCCTCTCTCTCTCTCTGTGTGTGACTATCATAAATAAATTAAAAAAAAAAAAAATGAAGTATTAAAAAGTGTTTTAAATGAAATATTAAAGACAATCTTAATGTCAAATGGAAATCATCAAATAATTATGGAACATCCAGATTGTATTTTTTCACCCATGAAAATATTATTTTTTAAGAATATTTAATGGTATGGGAACTTGTTAGTGATGTAAAGCTAGGTGGAAAAAACTGGGTAGAAATGAAACATCCGTGAAAACGTTTGAAATGAAAAGGCAACCTACTGAATGTGAGTAAATTATATATTTGATAAAAAAGTTAATATACAAAATAAATAAAGAACTCGTATAACTCAAGAGCAAACAAAATAAAATAAAATGAGTAAATAAAATCCAATTCAATTAAAAAATGATCAGAGAATATAAATATTTTTCCAAAGAGGGCATAGAGAAGGCTAGGAAGTACCTGAAGGTAGATACTCAGCATCACTAATCATCAGGGAAATGCAATTGAAAACCACAATGAGATCTCACCTCATACTGGATAGAATGGCTATTACTAAAAAGAGAAGAAATAACAAGCATTGGCAAGGATGTGGGAAAAAAGGGGACTTTTGTGCACTGTTGGTGGGAATGTAAATTGGTGTAGCCATTATGGAAAATAGTATGAATGTTTCTCAAAAAAATTAAAAATGAACTATCATATGATCCAGAAATGCCACTTCTGGGTATTTATTCAAAGAAAGCAAACACATTGACTTAAAAAGATACATGAACCCCCATGTTTATAGCAGCATTTTTTTTTTACAGTAGCCATGATATAAAAACAACCTATGTCCATTGATAGATGAAGGGATAAAGACAATATAGTACACACACACACACACACACACACACAGGAATATTATTCAGTGATAAAAAAGAATAAAATCTTGCCATTTGTGACAGTACAAATGGATCCTAAAGGCATTATACTAAGTGAAATAGTCAAATAGTCAAACAGAAAAAGACAAACACCACATGATTTCATTTATATGGTGTCTGAAAAGAAAAAGAGAAACAAACAAAAATCCAGTCTCATCAATTCAGAGAACATATTAGTAGTTGCTGGAGGTAGGGATGGGTGAAATAGGTGAAATGGATCAAAAGGTACAAACATCCAGGTATAAAATAAATAAATCATGGGGATGTCATCTACAGCATGGTGACTATAGATAATAATACTGTATTGCATATCGAAAAGTTGCTAAGAAAGGAAATCTTAAAAGTTCTCATCACAAGAAAAAAATTTTTGGAACTGTATATAATAATAGATGTTAATCAGATTGATTGCGGTGATTATTTCACTATATACACAAATACTGAATCATTATGTTTTATGTCCAAAACTAATATAGTACTGCATGTCAGTTATACCTCAATTTAAAAAAAGAAAGAAAATATTGGTATAAATATCTCAATACATGCACATGTCTCTATTTATAGAATAAAAGATTGGAAGAAAACTTACCTATGTATTAATAGGGGCTATTTGTAGGTGAAGGGATTATAAGCCATTTTAATATTTTTATACTTTTTAAGAAAATTTTCTACAATTTTATTATCATTCACATAGAAAAATATATATCGTGTATAATAGGTGGAAATACAACTTAAAAGTTTAAGGTGACATTATCCATTTATATAACTGGTGTAATATCAATGTATAAAGAAATATACTTGTTTGTTGGTAAGTATAAGCAAATACCATTTTGGCATTCAGTATATGAAAGATTAACAAAATCCTTTTGTCTCCCCTTATTCATATTTCATTGATTCTGATACACACTTTGTATATTTTAAACTCTCTGAGTCTTATAATGAATACTGTCTCAGAGTCAATGAAATATTAAGGTTTATGCCAATTCTGAGTTTGTCCTCCAGCCCTAGTCACTTACTTAGAGATGCAGAACCGGTATCTCTGAATGTAGATCTCAGTTTTAAAATTCAACATGTATATGGTGGGACTCTGCATTTTCCCCCATTTTTTAAAGCATTATCAATCAGCATTCTAAGAAACATTAACAACATCCTCAATTCTCTTCTCAACTACTTTCCTCCTGTATGGATTATATCAACAAATCATGATATTTTTTTTCTCAAAATAATTTTAGTTTTAATTTTAATTAGTCAAATGTATTTCCTCAATATTACTGTGTTCACATGAGTAAATAATCAGTAATTATAAAAGGGTATAGAGTGAAAGATCTTTGAATACTGTTCCTTCAGAGGTAACTACAATTATTTTTATTATTATGATACTCTTCTAAATGAAGATTCAAACATTTACCAGAATATTTCTGTACTAGTTTACCAGGGCTGCTGTAACAAAGTACCATAGTTTGGGTGGCTTAAAGAACAGAAATTTATGTTTATTGGCCAGAAGTCCAAAACTAAGGTCTCAGCAAGGTTTGTTCCTTCTGAGGGCTATGAGGAAAGAGCTACTCCAAACCTTTCTCCTTGGCTTGTAGATGGTCAGCTTCTTCCTATGTCTTCATGTCATCACTTTCTATACATGTCCAAATTTCCTCTTCTTATAAAGACAGTAGTCATATGGATTTAGGATCCACCCTAGTGGCCAAATTTTAACTTAATTACCTCTATTCAGATTTATCTCCCAAGTACAGTCACATTCTGAGGTACTAGAAGTTAGAATTTGAACATATGAATTTTTAGAGGGACACAATTCAACCCAAAACAATTTCCTTTACACAAAGGACACCATAACATAAATACTGTTGTAGAGTAAGTAGGGAGAGTTCTTGTTCCTGGATCCCTTCCCCATCTCTGTTGGGCCGGTGGGATCAAAGGGGATAGAGAAGCACCAACAAAATGGTGGTGGACCCTCTATCTTGTTACA